CAGTTTTTTTTTTTTACCTAGGAGTGTGGATTTCTGCTTCCCAAGGACTGAACAGGTTTGAGATCCATAGAGAGTTCCAAGCGGTCTCGCAAAAGTAGATGATCAGAATCATACTCCACCCAGCAGCATGGAGGGCACCTGCTCCCCTGTTCTTAGGCAGCACTTGGTATTATCAGCCTTTCTCATTTTGGCCAGTCTGAAGGGTGCCCAGGGGTGTTTCCACCGTGGTCTTACTCTGCGTCTCCCGGATTATTCTGGTCCCACCATCCCCCCTGGGCAATCTGCCACCCCCCGTCTCAATTTTAACAAGAAAATTTCAATCCGGGCATCGGGCAAGATGGAGTGCTGGAATTTAGGCACGAATTCAGAAAACCAGAGTTTGGATCCCTTTTCTTCTTCCAGGACCCTGAGGTCAAAGATCTAAAAGGCTGTAAGTCAAGGAGAGTGCTCTTTTGGAACAGCCCATGGACATGGTCCTCCCGCAGTCCCCTTTGGTCTGCACATGTGTCAATTTCTCACGCTCAGGGTTCATTTCACCGAGTTCTTCATCCCTCCAAACCACCCTTTTTGTTGGCCGCGGGTGCTTATGGAGCAAAATATGAGCAGTCCCGCATTCCACATTATAAAAGAGCTTCTTATAAAGAAGACTCCGTTCTCCTCCCGTATGAAAATAGGCCTTACCCCTTCTGTGTGGTGGTTTTTTGTTTTGACAATGACGAACAGGCCTTAGCCGGCCGCGGGGCTGTGAAGACAGGTTCACGCCTGGGGTGCTGGTGGCGTGGCTGGGTTGGGAGGAAGGACCTGTTCTGAAGGTGCAGAAGGTTTCAGAAGGGGGGTCTGGGTGTGTCCCTGCACCAGCTGCCCGGAGCAGTGGGGTGTGGAGGCCGCCCGGCCAACATGCACAACCAAGTGTCACTCCGTGAGAAATGTATTCTTAGAGCAAACGTCCAGCCCCACCTGGCACACAGCTCGGCCGTCTGTTGTCCACTTACCTTTGGGCATGAGTCCACAGGCGGGAGAGGGCGACCACACGTGTTTCCAACGCCCGTCTCGGGGGGGGGGGTGACCTCTTGCAACCGGAAGGAGGCGTCCGAAATTTTCCCAAAGCACGGAAATCCCACGCAGCGTGGCAGAGTCACTCGAGCTCTTCCCAAAATACGGTGCCCTGGGGCACGCTGCGAAACGTTTTGGGGGCTTAGTTTCCTCGTTGTGGAAAATGCCAGGGCCCCAAAGGCCCTGGGAAGAGGGGGCCCTCGCCCCCCCCATCTGTGGTCGGCAGGTTTCCGACGTGAGATGCTTCCCAGGCACGTCCACGCCGCACCCGGGGCCGGGCCGGCCGGCGGTGCTGCGGCTTCTGGGACTGTGCCCCAGACGCAGACCTCGGGGAAGAGAGGCCAGCGCAGAGACTCTCCCTGTGCCGTGGGTGCCCTGTGCTGGTGGCCTGCCTGGGCGGCTCCCCCAGGTGGACGGAGACTCGCCCACAGAACCCGGGCTCCCCCTGCTGCCCACCCAAGGGTCCGGCCGGGCCTCTCTATGCGCGGGGGCCAAGCCCCGGAGCCCAGGTCGGGCACTGCGGGCGGCACATGGGGCAGGTGTGGGTTTGACGCGCCGCCTCCTGTCTTGCAGGATCCGGGACAGGAACGACAACGGGTCTTATGCTCTGTGCCTGCTGCACGAGGGGAAGGTACTGCACTACCGCATCGATAAGGACAAAACGGGGAAGCTCTCCATCCCCGACGGGAAGAAGTTCGACACGCTCTGGCAGGTATGGGCCATCCTCACGTGGGAGGAAGCCCACCTGGGTCCCCGTAGGGGCTCCTTGCAACCCTCAGGTGCCCGGAAGCCCGGGCCAGAGGTGGGGATGTCAGGTGCACGAGGCTCCAGAATCCAGAAGTTCTGGGCACCATGGAGGGCCCCCCGACCCCCGCCGGCCACCCTGGAGAGCTGTGCTCAGAGGTGAACAGGAGGCCATGCCTCGGGGACTGGGCGCACTTCTCGCTCTATATAAAGCATCGGGTGCTTGCTCGCTGCAGAAGGAAGCTCTGGAAACCAAGGAGACTCAGAAAGGGCAGCGCTCCCGGGGTGATTCAGGATTTTTCAGCTCTGGTCTGAAAAGGGATTCTTTTTCACCCAACCTCTAGTAAACCCCAATATGGCTCATAATTCGGGAGACACACAGGGACCAAGGAGCAGGGAATCGATGCCATCGCACTCTCCAGTGGGCGGAGGTGGGAACACACTGCTTGTTTTCATTTCCATCACAGCGACACGTGGCCACGGCCATGGCCGTGGCCGTGCTGCACATATCACTTCATCCAGGCACCCTGTAATCTCCTGGGTCCAGCAGCAGAGAAACCCCAGGGACTCTGCTGGCCCGAGTGGCCACCACATGGAGCTTTCGTGGGTGAGGAACGCGATGAGGGTTGTGTCCACGTGCCCACACCCCAAACCTCACCGGTGCCGATAGCAGGAAAGGGCTCCACTCAAAATCCATCTGTTTGAAAACTGGCAGAAAGGATTCTCATTCCTTGAAAGCACAGTAACCACCACCTGACGTATTCTGGTTCCTAATGCTGTGGCTGGAAAAGAAATACCTCTTTTCTTTCTTTCTTTTTTTTTTTTTT